CTTTCCAACTCATTTTCAATAAAAGGTTATTGTTTTTAAATTTTTATAAAGTTAATAACAACAATAATAAAAAAGCCAAATTTCTTTTTTTATTTTTCAAATTTCATTCTCACCCTTTAATCTTTTTCTTTCTGTTTTACTCAGTCACAATTTCTAGGAAATCCTTCCTCTGGTCTCATTCACTTCTGCTCAATCTCTTTCACTTTTTCTTTATTTCTTCCAATCCCTTCCTTTCTATTTTTCTTCCGCAATTTGACCTCAACATACCTTTTCAACCATTTCTTCCATAATTCATCCTAAGTGAACCCCTTCTCCAAACTGGTCCTTCACTGTTTCCCAGATATGCTGGGCTCTCTCCAACCCCCACAGCTTGGCACTCACTCTCCGTCCCTTTGCCAATGCTTTTCCTAACCTCTTCAAGAAACCCAACCGGTGGCTGTCCTCCACAGGTTGTTGGACAGAGCTATGGATATTCTACTTTTATTCTTCAGCTTCTTCCAAACACCCATCTTTCCTGTTTTGCTGTCATTCACCTCTATGTACTCCAAAGACTTCCTCTTGTTGAAAATCATGGACAATCCTTTTCCTCCTTGATGATTTATATGCTGCCTTAATTCCAAACTTTCCATTATTCTTTCTTTATCCTGGCCTTATCTTAGTTTGGTTTATGCTGCCTTTGAGACGGAATTATTCTTTGACTATTTATTTTGTCCTGTTTCTCTATGAGCATCCTTCAGGTCTACAACAAGTGGACAAATCCTGCACGTGAAAAATTTAGGCCACATTTTTAATTGTATACCCTTATTTCCTGGGCCAATAATAGAATGGCCTCCAGAAAGGACAGCCATTCCTTTGCTGAATGGAGGAAAAGACGATTCCTCCTCTATTCAAATGCAGCACTTCTGACTAATTAAAGAAATATGTCAAAACAACTCTCAGGAAGAACTCATATATTATCCAGAGAATTAAATGTTTTGAAAATGAGAAGAACCACTTGGTCGATTTTTCAATAGAGATTGAGAACAAAGGAAAAGAAAAAAATAAATCAGAATTCAAGATGAAATAAATATGGAAATCTCTCGCTAAATGTAGGAAGAAAATACTTAAGCCGAGGCCTCTGGTAAGGCAAAAAGCCATTATGTATGTGCCTAAGGGTTTTACCACCTTTGTAACATTTGCCACCAGCTTTTGATCAAAATTGAGCCCTCAAAAGGGAAAATGAGACATAAAAAAGGCAGGGAATAAAAATGATAGGGAGTGGATAGAAGGCTTTGGCATGACACAAAAAATTCTTTAATATGGTGTGCTTCAAAAACAGTGGGGGAAAAAAAAACAGCATGCACTTGAAGATGTCAATGCTTTGTGGGAGTGGATTTACTAAACTACAAGGCACTATTCCAGGGTAGGCTATTTATTATTACTCAACTAAAGTGCAATTATGTCTCACCCTCTCCTGAGTGACAAATGGTATTAACTGTGTACCACTACCTCTCCCAAACCTACAATGACCAAAGGTTAGAGAAAAACAGAACATTGGGATGTAAGGGCTTATTTCTTCTCTTATCCACTTGATAACTGAGCTCCTGTACACCAAGGTAGTAGAAATAAGAGGCATCTCATTTCTACTGAAGCAGAATGCTGTCTCAACTTGGCTGTCTGCCTTCAAGGATTAAATAAAAATATGTGTTTATAGAAGTGGAACAGCTGCTTCAGCTAGTTTGGATACCTACTTTTAAGTCCTCAGGATGTTCCATTTTTCTAAGTCCACTACTCCTATAGTCTCGGAAAATTATCAGACTAAAGAATAAAGACACATAGATGGTTTGGGTCGTAGGTCTCCTGGAGACGCCAGCATTACTTCCTCTTTTAAAACCTGGCTTAACAGTTAAAGTGGGCACTATCACAATGTTTCCATTTTGGGGCTATATTTTTAAATGCTAGAAATTCTTCATTATTGGTTCACTTAACAAATACTTGATGCTGTGCCACAGTTGAAAAAGTCATATACATACACATATATATACATATATATATATGTGTATGTATATGGCTATGTATGTGTGTGTGTGTGTGTGTGTGTATGGCTTTGTGTATATGCATGTATAAGCTTTTATGGCTTTGTGTGTATGCACATATGTGTGTGTATATGGCTTATACATGCATGCACACAAAGCCATAAAGCTTCTCACTTTGTATGTACTCAATATGAATTTCCTTCACTCTTTTTTTTACCTTAAAGCTCTATGTTCTAGCATATAATCTTGTAGATATAAACAATTATTTCTGCTATAGTACAACTTGTGATATGAAAGAAGATATGATATGATATGATATGATATGATATATGATATAATATGACATGGAAGTGACAAGAATAAATGGCATGTGAGTTGAGGCTGGGCTACTAGTAATTGGCCTGGTGGAAACTGGACCATATAAAGGAATAAAAGGAACTCAAAGTCTAAGGGATTTACATTTTGAGAAACAGAGTAAAGATTTCTTCTGAAATCTAAACCAGTTGATAAAGTAAAGGGCAATGTAAATTTAAATGGAAACTATTACTTGTTTTGCTTTTCTTTAAAAAAAGGTACAGGGAAAAAATTTAAAGCAAAGCAGAGAAATTAATTTTTACTAACAATGAAATGCAAAAGAAATTATAAATACCTGTCAAAAACAAGGCTAAGTGAACTATTTTTGAAGCAACAACAAAAAAAAAGACCCCTGGGCAAGAAATTTTACAGTCATCCTCTTTCTAGGTCGGAACTCTCTTAGAATGAGACAAAGAAAAATCTGGGCCTGGAATAAGAGGAAGACATTAGGAATCCTTTCACCGCACTGACAGAGATTTGTTTAACAAACAGATGAAGGTCCAGAGTAATCAGATACCACAAGAAAAGGTAAGGAGAATAAGAAAGACTGAGGGGAATAAATGAAAAATTGTGACTTCAGAGTAAAGGTTGATACATTTTAAAAATATCCATCAGGTTAAGTTAGGTGGAAAGAAAAAATAAATTATTAGTATATAATAAAGGAAAGAAAGAATGATTCTTCATGTTTCTCTACCAGAAAACGTTCATTATGCTTCACAAAAATTAAATTTAGTATTTTAATGTACCTGAACAAGCACTAAATGAATTCTGGGCTGAAATGAATTTTTAAATTCTTAATACCCACTCTATACAACACAAAGCAGTGGTCGTGGGGAAGTGAACGCTTCTATATAAAAATAAATGACTTGTTTTGGTTTACCTTTATTAGGCATAAATAGAGGGCATCTTAAAAGTATACAAATAGAAGCCAAGAATACAAATTGTGTTGCTTTTAAAGAATAGAAAATCATGAAGAAAGGATCACAGAAACTATACCAATGTCATTAAAATATAATTGGACTTGCAGGAACAATTACTGTGCTGCACTGTAAGGGGAGCTGTTGGCACATAAGAGCAAAGCACACATATGAGCTCATCAGCCGGCCTTGGCAAGACCCACTTCCAGCTAGAAGCAGTCATGTTTCAACACCTCTGATTCCCTAATGCTGACAAGCTAAACAACTTGTTTTGTCTCTGGGAGCTCTTCTCTGGTGATTAACTACTTATGGCGAATACTAATTATATGAAAGTACAGTATTGAAGAAGTAGTGTCCTATTTCCTCTACCTGCAGCCTCAACTTATCTCTGAATCTAGAAGGTAGAGCCACTGTAAACCAGAACCAAGAAAAGACATTTTCCACCCCTGAATAAACAAATATATTTCCTACTTTTTAGTAAAGCACAGCTCACTGACAAGAAACTTTCTTTAACCTCTGGGCTCTAAACCAAATATAATTACCGTAAAATGAGTGCTTTAAAGGCTTGTGATAATTATATGGATAAATCCACAGCAAGAGTTTGTGAATTAGTGAACTATCAGTGTCTTCCATTCCCCATGTCCCATGTTGAAAATTTTCCCCAAATTGTCAGTTCTTAGGAACTGCACTTCAGATTAAAATCTTCTCACCAGGGAGTCTATGAGAATTTCTTCTTGTGTTTTAAATCCTAAGTGCTTGTTAAACCGCCAACACTGCAAAATTAGAGACCATTAAACAATATAAGGCAGCAAGTGATTAAATCTACCAAACACATATTCAAGCAGCTTAAGCTACTTTTTAATTAAAAATAAAATATCATTGGCTAAATTCAGATGTCTTAGCTATCCAGAAAAAAGTTAGAAGGCTGTTCAAAATGAACAATGCTGCTGATAAGGCCAGATACAAAGGGAGAAATAGGGCAGGAGGTTGGCTGAACAGGAGGCTCATCTTGGTCTCTGGGCCTGGGTGGCAGCACACATCCCAATGCTGACCCGGTTTAGGCAGTGAACCCCAAGCGGGGAGTAATGGCTGTGCTGCAGGGTGAGGACGCCATGTGGCTGCTGATTAAATAAGCTTTATTAGCTAAGGCCTCTAAGGAGACAGGGTGTTCCACCTTCTTGGCAGGGGAATGAGTTGAGTAACAGCATCACAGGAAGCTAAGGCATGGGAGATGTATAGATGGCTGAAGGAAATGTTAGTGCTATTTTTAAATACAGCTTAAGCTAATTGATAAACATTTCTTAAAATAATTATTCGCTTGTGGGGAAGCAGGCACAGGGGCTTCTGAGTTGATGGGATCATTTGAGATTAAAATAAATTTTTACTGTAAAGTTAAAAGTAAATAAACATTGTAGCTTTAAGTTGTTCCTACTTGTTTAAAGTAAAGAAAAAGGGCCAGGGGGCTTAGTCAACTTTAGGCAACAGGCCAAGAATTTGAAGATCAGACTTAAGGCTAGGATGATATCATTCATGCTGAAGTCTTGATACCCTTTCTGAAGCATGCGAAAATTTACTGGTAAAACCTTACCTCACCCACAGTTTTCTTATTTTTAACTCTATTTTTCTTTCCCTCTGGAGAATAATTTTCCAAATATGCTTTTTGCTTTATATGTAAATGTTATAAATTTACTTTTAGCTTTAGACATGGTCTTACCTAAAAAGCTTGCCCTAAAGTAAAGTACAGGCACTTGGTAGCTACAGGAATATAAGACATGATACTCATATTTAATCACTTGGGATGCTGCTGGAGCTTCAATCACTTCACAATCATCTGAGGGTAGCTCAAAAGCCTCCTGAAAAAAAGCAAAAACAGAAACAAAATGGCTTTGTTAATAAGAAAAGTATTAACATAGAGAGGAAAAGAGGAGATTTTCCTCTTGCAAAATAACAGTTAAATAAATATAAGGCTATGAGGCAAGGAAAAGGGAGTTTCCCATATTAATGTTTAACATTTGAGTCCTGGGTAAATAGTAAAACCAGAAAACATTAGCATTAAGTAATTCCAGATTGTTTTTGAGGGACAAAGCAGATCTGGATAAAGAAAAACAAAGAAAAAAATGCAAAGATCTATTGCCTGAAAAATCTTTACCGTACAATTTTAGCAACAAGATGATGGCTATACAAGCTACCTTCTTCCCTACCTGTGAAAGCTAAAAACATCTTAACAATTGAACAAGAGGCTGTGAAATGTCCCTAAAGATTCTATTGTACTTGCCAAAAGATGATTCATTGTGTGCTGAACAATTCCCAGTTCCATTTTGAATAAGAAAGTTATTTTGCAAGAGGTTGAATCTGTTAGGTATATTTCAAAACCTGAGATGATTCTGTTTTCTTCATTATTGTGCTATCTTTGGTATATTTCTACAATAAATCTTGATTTTATGATAGAGTAGATGGCAAATATTTATGTCAACTTAAATAGAGTTTTGTAAGCAGAGATGATGATAGTCATCTCACTTCTCACCTAATTATTTTTTTACTGGTTGATTTTTTTATTTTGTGTAGGGCTTTTAAAAGAACGTATTGGACACAGTGAGTCAGAGCATGGTTCCATTCACATTCACTTATTTATTGGGGTTGAAGAATTTCCTTTGAAATTAAATTAGTACTAGAAGGAATGAAGCAGGTTGGTTTAGCTCATTTCTACCTCTCATTAAAACAGTGACAACAATGAACAATCAGAAATAACTAAGGAAAGATTTCACACTTTATCAATATGAAATAAGGTTTTCTGTTGAGATAAGCAAAGCCCCAGACTACTTTCAAGATCTGTATCTCCTTTACAGATAATTCTGTAATTCCCTACTCACAGTCAGTTCACTGGGGAGATATTACAATGGATAAATCACAAGTGGAGATATTTACAAAATATTTTTCACTAAACTCCAGTAAACACTATCAATTAAACACAATAAAATAACCAGAAAGAAATCACAGAAATAAATATCCCAGACACAGAAAATTAATACAGTAGCAAGAAAAATATTTTTCTATTTTGTTTTGTTTTTTAATTTTCAGTAGGCATAAGTATCTGTACCTTCTATTACATCAATTTTTTTAAACTAATTCTTTCTTTTTGGTCAATAATTGGTTTGCTTAGCATTTATAATTTCCTTTCTTAACATAAAATAATTCTATCTTGATGGTAAAAAATTACAAATATTGCACAAACACACAAAAGAAAAAATAAAACTCCCCTCATCCCAGCACTCCTATACCTAAGATTTGTAACCATCTTTAACGGGCCAGAGTGTATTTTTTTAGACTTTTTGATTTTTGGCACACAAACACATATACATACATAGACACATATACACCTCCTCCCCACCCCCGCCCCTGCTTATATTCTACTATATATACATATGCTCCTAGAGTGGATATTTTCACTCATGGGCATCCTGCCACGTGCTGCCAAGTCACTGCTATAGATTTAGTGCCTTTTAATGCCTTCACTATATTTCATTGCATGACCACACCATAGTTTTTTTTTTTTTAACATTTCCATATTGCTAGATATTTTAGGTTGATTATAGTTTTCTGCTACTTACAAATAAGGCTGCAATGAATATCACAGCACATATACCCTTGCACACCTGTATTTTTCTATGGTGCAGATTTCTAAAGGCGGAATCACTGTATCAAAGAGTCTGAGCATTTTAAATTTCAAGAGATACTGAATCTGAGAAATTCTATCCTCAGAAAAAGGCTGTATCAGTTTATATTCCCAGCAAAAATGTCAAAGATTGCCCTTTTCCTATATCTAATAAATACCAAATATTGTTTTTAATTTTTGCCTATTGATGAATTTTTAAGTGTCAACTTTTCATTGTTTTAATTTCTAGTTTCTTGGTTACTCACTAGTGAAGGTGAATAGCTATTCATATGTCTATTGGTTATTGGCATTCTCCCATGATTTGCTTGTTTTTATTCTTTATCTATTTTCTGTTTGCATTTTTTGTATTGAATTATATAAACTCCTTGTATACTGGAAATAATAACTTACTATTAGATAAAAATATATGTCTGCACCATAGTAAAACAGAGGTGTGCAAGGATATGTGTAAAACATATACACATATTCACACACATATATACAACACTTTCTGTTTTCTTTCAATTGTTTGTTTAACTTTTTTATCACAGTTTTTTTTTTTTTTACTTTTATGTAATCAAACCTGTACCTGTTCTGTTTAAAGTTTCTGAGTTACATGTTTTCATCAGAAGGCCTCCTGCTGTACCCCACCTCAGTCTTACAAATTATAAAGATGTTAAATTCCTTTACTATATACACACCTTTTTAAATTAAAATTTAGATCATTAATCCAACTGATTTTGGTTTTGTATATAGTGTGAGGTAAGAATTTTCCCAGATGATTTCAATAGTCCATCTTTTTTCCATTGATTTTAAATGTCACCATACCATAAATTTGGTGTGTGTGTGTGTCTCTGTGTGTGTGTGTGTGTGTGTGTGTGTGTGTGTTTATTCTCTAATCTTCTCTATTGTACAATTTCTATTCTTAGACCATCACTAAGTGCATACTGAATCGAAGGATTTGGGTCATTAATTTCTGCAGAAAAGTGCAGAAATAGACTGCCTGAGACCCAGTGCTGCTAGTAAAGATACAATTTTTGGAAAAAAATATCCTTTACCTAAACTCAACTTATGCACTCAGGAATGTGCTGGGATTGGCACCAGGTACTTGCAACTGGTGATCAATTAGGCATAGATCCATATTCTCTGGAACAGGTAGGAGGCTCAAGAAATCAGAGAGAGGGGACAGAACAAGCTTCTTGAAAAGCCTGTTAGAAGTCTCACTCCAGTCATTGTTCTCACTGGTAGCTGAGAGTCTTTGTGGGTTGTGAATGTCAGGGGTACTTGTCCTCTAATTAGGACTGCTACTATGTCACCCAGTGTTGCTCTGGGCAGTCGTCTATGTTCAATGACATTTTTGCATGCTTTACTCATATTAGATGAATCTGAGTCCTTGATTTGTGTCTGCTAGGATCTTTCCATCAGTCGTCGCCACCTTTATGATGTCCATAAAAATATCATTCCTTGAAGTAATGCAATTTGGAAGTCTCAGACTTCCACATATTTTCTACTTCTCTTTCCAGTTAAAAGTGCCAGATGGTTTTAGAACTTCAAAACTAAGGTTCTTGTCTTACTCATTTTCGTATTCCTGGAGATTCTAGTACAGAGCTGAGAACCCTAGTAAGCAACATTTTCTATTTCAGTCTGAAGATCTGTTTCCTCCTCTCTAAGTATATTATAACAAATTTCATAGGTAATTTACCAGCAATCCCGCCCCATCCCAAAGACTAAAAACAAGTAAATGGAGGAGGGAGTAAAGATGCAAAATGTCACCAAAGAGGATATAGCAATGCCAAATAAGCACATAAAGAAGATATTCAGTATCCTTAGCCATCAGGGAAATACAAATTAAAACTATAATGAGATATCACAAAACATCTATCAGAATGGCTAAAATCAACAAAATAGTGGAGACATCACTAAACATCTATCAGAATGGCTAAAATCAACAAAATAGTGGACACCACCAAATGTTGGTGAAGATACAGAGAAACTAGATCATATATTGCTGATTGGAATATAAAACAATGTGCAGCCTCTCTGGAAAATCATTATGACAGTTTCTCATACAAGTAAACACATAATTACCATACAACCTACCAACTGCACTCAGGCATTTATCCCAGAGCATTGAAAAACCTGTGCATGAACGTTCACAGCAGTTTTATTCAGAATAGCAAAAATCTTGAAACAGTGGGGTGTCCTTCAATAGGTCATGGTTAAACAAACTGTGGTACATCCATACCATAGTATTTAGAAATGTAAAAGAACAAATGATTGACACACAACAGCCTGGATGAATCTCCAGGGAATTATGCTAAGTGGTAAGTCAATCTCCAAAGTTTATATACTGCATGATTCCACTTATATAACATTTTTGAAGTGACAAAACTTTTGAAATGAAAAAACAAAGAGCAAATTAGTGTTGGGAGACTGGAGGTCAGAGGGCTGGTTATAAAAGGGCAACATGAGAAATCTTTGTGGTGATGAGACTATTCTGTACCTTGACCACGGTAGTGGATATATAAGCCTACACATGTGATAAAACTGTACAGAACCAAATATACACACACAGACACACACAATGAGTATAAGTAAAACTAGGCAAATCTGAATAAGATCAGTGGATTAAATCAATGTCAACATCCTGGTTCTGATATTATACTACAGTTTCAGAAGAAATTACCAGTGGGGGATATTAGGTAAAGGGTAGATATGATTGTTATGTCTTATTACTGAATGTGAATCTATATTTATCTCAAAAAATTTCAATTAAAAAATGGAAAGCATAGAAACAGTGAGGCAATTTGAGTCTTGTTAAAATCTAAATAAAATTTTTAAGACCTCAAGGTGTGAATAATACAGATGACAGAGGGATCATGTTAATAAAGAGAGTCTAATGTCAGGGATTTGTTTTGAAATAAAACAGGAGAGGGGTAAGTGGATGGAAGTATAGAAGAAGTATGACTGGCCATGGAGTGGTGATTGCTGAGATTGTTTGATGGGTCCCTGGGTGTTCATTGTACTGTTCTATCTACTTTAAGGATTATTTTAAATTATTTAAAATAAAAAACTAAGATAAAATATTTCTGATACCATCTTACAGAACAGAACACAGAATGAAGAGAACTCTAATTATGAAAAGAAACCTGAATCATTCCACCTAGTCCAACACTCTCATCTTGCAGATACAAACAACAA